CCTCAAGTGCTCTCAAGGCCTAAGGCGATCTGTGCTAGGCGTGGGGCGCAATAGAAAAAATCCCACCGCCCTGCCTACTCATGGCTCGTTCGGCCAGTGCCACTGCGACTGGAGCCATGACGCTTTCTTTGTTGCCCAGTCGTGGCCCTGTCGCATCCTCCGACTGATACCAAACCCCGGGCCCCACCAACCGATTGTGTCGACTTTGCTCATGGCCTTATCTCGCCAGTCGTGGACAGTCACCCTCTGGCGCCCGTGGCTAGCCCTCTCACCTCTCCGGCTCGCCACTTGGTGCCTGTAGCTTGGTGACTGAATCACCCCCTGGTTTGTCACCTTGGTAACTGCCCTATCGAAGATGAGGAGACCACAGCTCTGTCTAGCTAGGCGGACATGTTTGATCTGCTTGGGACTTGGAGACTCTCAGTAGGCCTTGGCAAAGAGCCTCACTCTCACACTAATAGAGTATGAAATGCGTTGAATGTGAGGAACGGTGGTAGAAAACTGAGTATGAACTACTTATGCTTGATTGATAGATTGAAGGAGAGCGAAGGCGACTCACTTTCTCATCTCAATGATTGTTCTAACCTCACTCACACTGGTCCAAGACGTTAGATTGAGCTCATCAACCAAACCAGACGTACAAGATTACGCAGCCTCGGTCATGTCCTTCCTTGGGTGGTGAAACCTAGACTGAGAGATTAGAACAGGTGCTTTCATAGCTTAACCTACATACTTACAAGCTTACATCTCATTATTTCAACTATACTTGCTTACGGACTTACGCAGTCTCGGTCAGGGCTTTTTCTTGGGTCATTAAGCTTTCATGACCAGAGCCCGGCATTAGCCTTTTATAATCACTCTGATTTGGGACGGGTATTACGTATAGGCATTAACACACATACACGCACACACTCGAGCAAAAGTAGCATGACCAATATGGAAGATAATTGACCAAGCCATTCTATATATATCTATGCCTATTCATTTTCGTTTTTTAGTCATGAGTATATATACAAGATAAGATAGAGCCGGATAATCTTCTTGACCTAGTATTAACATGAGACTTGCAAAAATCGGTTCCAACTCTGATGTTGTCCATCGTATGATGAATGAAAGCTCAGTCATTTTTCAATCGAAACGAGGGAGGATGTCTTGCGGACTGTGTCAACCTTAAGGCCATATTAAAGCCAAACGACTACCGTACAACGG